GCGGCAGGGAACACCTTCGTCGATTGACGCGCGCGCCGCTTTTATTCTAATTGCCGGACCTGAGCAGCCGTCGTTGGATTCATCTCGCGCGTGAAGCGCGCAACGACTGTCGACTTTATGCCCTGAATGCTATGCGGCTCGCGGTTTTCTAGGATGATACGTATCGCTTCCTCAAAAGCGACACGGTCAAATCGTCGAGCTAATTGACTGGCGCTTTCGTGAGAATATTCGCGCGTTCGCAACGGGAATCCGGCCGTTTTGCATCCGCGAAGCAGCCGTAAAACGCGCCGGCTCTCGTGCTCAGCTGCGTAATTAAACGTGCGAGTGCCGGCGATCTAACAGCGTATAAAATATGGCCGATCGTGTGAGGTCCGCGTAGAACCGCGCTTGAGCGCGTGCACAGATGCGAGCTCACCACGTGGACGATTGCGTTACGCGTTCTCGGAAATATTCCCGCGTGGTGAGGTGCCCGAGAAATGTCGTACTCAAGGACAAAGAGATTGCGTCGAAGGAAAGGATCTCGGCGTGGAAAAGGCGAGCGGTATGGCAGCGAGAAAGAGAGAGAGAGAGAGAGAGAAAAAGAGATAGAATGAGGAGAGAGAGACACTCCTTCTGCGAATGGGTCCGACATCGGAAAAGCGAGCGATCGCGCGGAATATCCGAGATCTCCAATTTGCGGCGCGGAATCAAAGTTGGTTGTCGGTGCTCTTGCGCGATTTGCGGCTGTCCCATTACGCGTCATTATTGTTGCGACAGGCGTCCGGATCGCTTTCGCAAGAGCCGAGTGCCGCGAACTTTTAATCGCGCGCGCGCGCGCGGACGGCCTTGCCTTTTCGCATCGCGCACTGTGCGTCGCAGCCGCGGTTGCCACCGTGATCTACGTGTGGGTGTCACTTGCTTTCCCGCCTTGAAAAACCTTTCACTGTTTTGCACCTACATAGAGACGCGCGGCAGACAACGCAGCCGCGTGCCGTTGCCGTAAAGTCAGAGGAAATCTTGGGAGCGGTGTGTAACTCGTTTCGTGTAGCTCAGCGCGCGCGCGTGTGTGCGAATTCCGCTCCGATCACGTCGCGTTCGGAGCTTTTGCGCACAAATTGCCGTAGCTGCAAGAACTTCAACTGGAAAACCAATCGGGATATTGCTTTAAGCTTGTGCAGAAGAAGATAGAGCTAGCGACAAACCTGGTCGCGTAAGCACAGAAGTAACTAGGATTCAACTGAGTGAACTTATAGATACTCAGTCTGAATCCTGTTTGCTCTCTAAATTTCTTGGAGTGGCATCTCTCTCAAAACGTGTGAAAAGTAGCAATATTTCCACTCGAAGCGACAGTGAAAATATTGCCACTTGAAATCGCAAGAGTAAACATTTCACTCAAGCCGTGTGTGAATTCTGGTTTCATACACTAGGAAAAAAAATATAAAAAATAAAACATTTATTCGGTGAGTACTAATAATATATATAGGTTTTCAGAACATGTACATTTTGTATTTGAAAAAAATATTCTATATTAATATAAGTAACTGTTATTTTATATATATATATATATATATGTGTGTGTGTGTGTCTGTGTGTGTTACACACACAGACACACACACACACTGCGCGAATAAATATTTTTCATTTTATAGATATATTTTTTTGACAGTGCATGAGAAAATATTTTAGAATCGATTGGAGTGAATACGTTTCTGATACGTTGATGATAGGATATATTCATCATTCGAATCCATTCTTCAATTTCGAGTGAAAATATTTACTTGATGATTTAGAGTGGAGAGTTCACTAAAAAATGGCTCGAATTCGAGTGAGTCTTTTTTTTTTTAGTGAAATTTTACTCTGATATATTTAGGGAGTGCATAGTCACTTCTTTCTTCTTCTAGATAAAGAATAATCCTAATGTTTTCATTAATTCTTCAGTTTAAGTTTACGTTTTACACGCAGAAAAATGTCATTCTACTGCTAAAAATGCTAAAAATATTTTCTTTCTTTTGAGTTAAAAAATAGTTATTTTCAATACACATATACAAAGAATATCTTAAAATGAACTCATCACAAATTGAAGAATAGCTCATTATTATTTATTCTTTTTATAAGAGAACCTATACAGTTAGTAAATTTTTATTTTAATTTGATATTCTTGATTATGAAATGCTAAACTTACTACATTAAGAAAAAAATGCTTGTTATTTGTAACTATAATTATGTAGAGAAATGATTACTATATAAATTAGACCAAGAAAATCATTTTCTAATTAAATTTTACTGTATAATGTTAGTAATAATAACTTTATATGTATATTACTAGTACTATTTTTCTATAAAAAATATAGCTAGGGCCAAAAATAACTATAGTTTTAGATAAATCAACTATTTTTTCTCTCAGTGTAGGATTCATAATATATTTTGAATAAATTTGATGCTTATGGCGAGCTTGTGATAGATTTGCAAATATACAAACTTCTTAAATATCTGAGATAAATAACTTTTACTTCAATACAGTATGTATTTTTCTGTATGTACTTAATGATTACGGCAATTTATGTGTGAATCCTTAAACAAGGTTTCGCTTGCATGCACATGCGTTCCGTGTATCATCGGATGTCTTGCGACGTGGATAATCGCGCGACTTTGATAGAAATTTAAGACCAAGCGAGAGTCGAGGGCGTCCCTTCGGATGTCTCGTGGCGGTGGCGTCGCGACGTTACACGTATCGACAAAGCTGACACAGCCTCGTTTACGGTAAAAGGCGTTAACAACTCGACATTGACGCAAATGTCACGATACCGTGGCCCGTCGCGCCTCCTCGGTGTTTGTCACCGAGGATAACTTCGCCGCGAAGAGACTCTGGGCGCGACCCATTAGACGCTGCAAACGCTCTGAAGCGCTTAAAGAAAAGCCACGATTGTTCATACGCCGCTTCCAAGCATTTGTAACGTCTAATGGATTGCACCCTCTACCCGACCTGGCGAAGCGCGAAAGTTCCGCGCGCTATGTGCATTTCTTCCCCGGCTCTTAGTCGGATCCTTTAAGAGGCGGCGCGCGGTTCGCTGCGCGCGTCGTCAAGTATGTCGGACCTTTGACCCAGACTGGCCAGACATTCCCCTGCGAATGTTAATCACGCTAATGACGGCCCAGACTGCGCTAATTAGGAAATAGTTACGTCAATATCGCAGGCTTAAGAGAGAAGATGCGTAATGCCCTCAATTTTCAAGTCCACCTTCCGCTCCCGCCCGCCCGCTTTCTTCCCCCTCTTTTTGCTCGCTTCCCTCCACGAAAGATAACTCTGTAATTGTTGGCTCCCGTTTACCCAGAGCTTCTTTTTAATGGGTTGCATTAATTCCGCATCGTGGAGCATGCCGTTGCATCACATTGGCTTCATTCATCGCGCGGATTCGGCTGTACGGCCGCGCGCGCGTTTCATTAGTCACATTTGCATTACGTTGGCGGTCGATGTCTGGCGACGATGCCTCCGCGGAAAATTCTATTGTCGCTACGTTTTCCCGGTGTCGTGTTGTCGCAATACCAGTCGCGCACGAACCCAGCCGGCTTCACGAACTATATAATCGGATAGCGGCATTCATATTTGCATCCGCGCGATACGCTCCAATTCTATACCCCTATTCACCCTCATTTACATCTAATTTCATAACGTTATTTGAATGACCGCGAATGCTCGTAACGCGTTTGCTCGCGCATTCACGTCGCTTACGCGGGAATATTAAGTCATATTTAACATTGTACAAATTCCGACACGCGCGGATTAAGCAAGCGTGCATTGCATCCGCTCGTTGCCCCCAAAGTGTCTCGTGAGAAATACCTGACGTAACGCGTCACTCGTAAATTCCGTCCTAGCTGAAACCGATACTCCGCGTCTACATTGAATTTCTCGCACGCGCGTTATCATTTCGCACAGTGGGAGGAAACGCCACTCCTTTTGGACAAAAGTCTAATATTTAACAGATTCTATTGATCTCTTGTTTTAATTTTTCTCGTCGTGAATTGCCTTACAACATAGTTGCGTGAATTTCAAAAAAATTAAGTTAAAACTCAAAATGACGGATCCAAAGATATTTAAAAAAAATCTAATGTTTAATGAATTAATAGAATTGGACTGTGTAAATCCACTTTCTTTGCGGTACTTCAAATAAACGAAAATTAAATCTGTGTAAGGATTCTTGTTTTTAAAGATTTTATTTTTTTCTTCATTTATATTATATGCAAGTGTATTCATTAATTCTTTAAGAACTTGATTTCCTTAACTGAAATGAATTTTGTTCTATTTGTCACTAGTGACCTCAGAAAATCTGTATATACTTATTTTGATGTATATACAATAAATATATTCGATATCTTAGAATTTCAATAATTTTCACTGTCATCTTGGATCTATCATTTTGAATTTCATTTTGAGTTTCATTTTGTTTTCAATTCATAAGTCATAAGGCAACTCACAAATGGAGTAAATTAAAGAAAGAGCACCAATTAAATACTGTCTAGCGAGTTTTGTCCAAAAAGAGTGCCTTCTTTACCAATGATGCGGCGATTCCGCGGAAAGAAAGCAACGAGCGAGCGGACGCCGCCGCATGTTCCAGTTCGTCGCTCGCATTGTTGTAGAAGCACGGCGGACTTTCATGGAAAACACCTCGGCAGACACCCCAATACCTTGCCTCGGGCGGCCGCTGCAGAGCGACCTTCATCCTTCACCGATTTGCCCGGCGGAAATCACCTTTCGCGACCGCCAATCGATTCCGATAGTTAGCCTCGGAAATCGTCTCACCGTCACCTCACGACACTCGCGGACCACCGATGAGGTCAGCGTCTGGCCCCCGCAACATGCGATCTCTCCCCTCCCCTTTCCCACGTTGCGCCCGTTCACCTCACCTGCGCTCATCAAGCATTTTGATTTTTTCACGGCCGCGTCGCACACGACGACATTCGTTTCATCGCTGCTGTTTTTTTTGAGTTGCCGCTCCCTACCCTGTTCCTACTTTCTGTTACAGATCTCTGTTACGACCTACGTGCATCGTACAGTAGAGAACGCAGTAGAGAGACAGCCGCAGAGCAACGAGGATGTAGCCCGCAAGGGTGACTGCCGCTGTGTTTCGACGAGAAAAAGAGAGAGATAAAGAGAGAGAGAGGAAGGGAGAGAAAGAGAGAAAGCAAGCTTATACGAGTTTGAAATCGACGATGATGACGCGCGCGGTACAGGGAAGAGGAATCGACCGAGGGAAGAGCAGGGCAGTCTAGAAGAGCGAGATAGATTAGAAACAGGAGAAGGCAGGAGAGAGAAAGAGACAGAGATCTCCTCTGCGGAGGGAATGCGCCGGATGTTATCGCGCGAGACGCCGAGACTGATAAAAACACTGCCAGGAGTAATGACGAGCTAGATCGCTCCGTCCGCTGAACCGTTCCGTCGATCTTAGCTCTCGCTCCGCGATCCCCCCGTTCCTAGCCCCCCACGTATCAGAGCTCTACCCTCGTCCCTGCTCTCACTCGCAGACACACGTATAACACGTACGCACGTTAATACACGGCATCTCCCTTCTACCACGTATTCTCGAGATCAAAGACTGAAAATAAAAGGTGGCGACAACATGTTGGGCGTGAGTCAGCCGGGCAACACGCCCTCGAGCTTGCGGCATTCGGCGAGCTTCTCCTGCTTGCAACGCGGTACCGCCGGCGAGGGTCATCGTGCGAGGACCTCGACGTTGCTGCAGCAACCGAGTCTGCAGCTGAGCGGCGCTCATCATCAGTATACGTCCGGTCAGACGGCCGCGCACTCTCTGCTGCAGCAACAGCACCATCAACAACAACAACAACAGTCTCCGGGCGGTGCTCGAGTGCATCGCGAGACGCTCGATCCCGTTCAAGACGGCAACGATTACGGCTTCGTGAGGATCCGGCCACGGTTGCGCAGTACGAATGCGACCTTGTATCACGAGGAAGAGGTGGCGGCCGCGAAGAACGCGCTGCGGGAACGCGACGCCGCGGCGTTCAGCGACCGCGAGTGCGACTCCAACTTCAGAGACTGCGCGTTGAAGGTCAAGGACCGTGACCTCTCCCCGAAGGGCACCGCGAAGAATCAGAACCCACTGCGCGGCGCGTTGATACTCTTCTCAACGTCGTCCTGGTGGAAGGCGCGCCAAAGGGAAGAACAACTGAACGCCAGTGGTGGTGCCGTCGCTGCCGTCACCGCGCCTTCCTCGGAGAGGAAGTGGTCGAGCACCTCGATAGCGTCGCCGTCGAACGAGAGAAAGTGGCAGTCTTCGATGACGTCGCCCACTAACGAACGGAAATGGTCCGTGGGTAACAGTCTACTGACGTCGCCGTCCAATGAGAGGAAGTGGACCAGATCGTCGGTGTCGTCGACATCGACGAGCCAGCAAGACCGGAAGTGGCGGTCTCTCGGCGCACTTCTAAGGACTCCCGGCAGCGGCGGCAACGGCAGCAGCGGTAACTCTCACGCCAGTCAGAACTGCTTGTCGCACAACATGAGCGTGTCCATGATCGAGGGCGAGCCTTGCCGCGACGATTTGCGCGGCACGAGCTGCAAGGCGCGTTATCAACAGCCGACGTCCTACTCGGCGCGCGTCTCCCGCGTCAGTAGAGACGTCTACAGGGAGAGCACGGAGTTCGGGCAAGTCGGCAGGTCGAAGGTCAGTCGCAGACTATACCAGGACAGCGAGTCGACCGATCGCGAGATAGACGAAGGTCGACACGCGCCGCGCAACCGGCATCACATAATAGACGACCTGGAGTGCAGGAACAGCAATCGAGACGTCTGCAGAGCCGTGGCGGATCAGAGCCATGTCGTGGAGAGTCGCAGCACGACCTCCACCAGGTCGAGTCGCGCGCAGAGCTTTTATCTGCTGGACGACTTCCTGCGACCGCAGCCGCAGATGAGCGGCAAGTGCATGCTGAATCTGTATCTGTCGCCGTCGCAGGCCGGCAAGTCGACCGGCAATGCTGAACAACAACACGGCAGGTCTTGCGAGGTCAGACAGGCCTGCCAGGCGAACGTCAGCAACATCACGCCGCCACGACGCCACAATTCGAGCTCGGACAGCCTCGAGGTAGCCACCAGTCCGTTGCCGCCGCCAGTGCCGCCGCCACCACCGCAAGCGAGCACCGCGAGGGACCGCGAGCGCAATGAGAACCCGAAGGACGGTAAGGAGGTGTGCCCGTGCAAACTGTGCTGGACCAATATGCAGAGGTCCTTCATGGAAGAGGTAAGTGGTAAGGGAGAGACCAGGGGGGAGATGCGCGCCCCGCACAATTGAGTCGTTCGTCACGCCGCGCACTCCTCGTTCGGAGATCCGCGGGGGATCCCGCTTGAGAAATGAGGCTATGATTAAGGGACTTTGACAAAGGGTCGCGCCAGATGGGGTTCGTCCTGCCTGCCTGCGACGAAAAGTCGCCAGACTTGCACACCTGCACAACAATGTTGCTCGAGGAACAACCGCGAACGCTCATATACGTGTCATGTATGCATTTTTCAGCACGATAAGGCAACAGCAATCATTCGTTCTCCCCTTCCACTGAGAGAAAAAATATTTAAGAAATAGTGAATATTTATTTGGTAGATACACTAACAGCGCATATCTACTTGTACTAATATGAAGTATCTTTCAAATAAGAAAATATATATTTTCTTCAAACCCCTTAAAGAAACCTTAGTTTTTCACATAAAAATATTTATTCTCTTTAGATAAAAGAATTTGGATTTAACTAAATATGCTGTTAGTACAATAGTAAATATTTACTAATTTTTGAATATTTTTTCTTTCAATATATACTGAAAGAAAATATCTGAAATTTTAACAAACGGATATACCGATGACAATTTGAGAAACTGATATTTCCGATCAATTTTTATATATTCCATAAACCCCTTATTAACCCGGCTCGTTGACTTTTATCGCGTGTCATTCGATTTGATCGGACATCATCTTTTATCAAAAAGATAAACCAATGCGCGGACCTAATTCTGAAAATTCATATTGTTTAGGTCTTTAAATACAAACTTCCAATTTAAACTTCTAATTAAAAAAATATATATATATAAAACAAAGTGCTCTTAAATAATAAAAAATTTTGTGAGATTTTTTTAGTGGATACTAATAACATATTTACTTAAAATAAATTATTTTATTTAAGTAGAATAAACATTTTTATGAAAGACTAAGGTTTTGAAAAAATGCATATATTTTATTTGAAAATTATTTTATTTTTTGTATTATTGTTTAGAAAATATTTTATAAAGTATTCTTTATAAAATATTTTGCAAATATTCTTGATAAAATATTTATACACATAAATATAAATATTAAAGACAAAAGTAAATATGTATGTTGTGTGTGTTATTAATATCCACGGAATAAATATTTTTTATTTCTTTAATATCTTTTTTTCGATGTGCATATATTAAATATATACATATATACCATGTTAAAAACTTAAATATTCTTATTTAAAGACCAAAACAATAAGAATATCCAAAATTAAGGAGAATTTACATCTACCAGAAAAGTAAAAAGGCAGAAGCCAATTAAAACTCGCATTAATAGAAAAGCAGAAATTGTCGACTATACTGATCACTAATGCGAGTTCTGACTAGCTCTGCCTTTCTGCTTTTCTGCCAAGATGTGAATTTTCCTTTAGATACATGCCCGGGAATCGATACTTTGACCTTCTGATCGGATATAGGTGAGTCAAAGAGAAAAACAGTTCTTTCTTGATCCGACCAAGTAAGTTGCGTTTTATCAAGACACAGGTACCTTGATTGGGGTTTAAAAGTCAAAATCGATCGGATAATTGCTCAAACGGTATATCTGTTGGTTAAAACTCGGATCTTTCTCTCGGTGTATTAACGAACTCAATCGCGCGATTTCACAAATCTCTGTCACTCGACCGTTCAAATTCACACTGTCGAACGTAATCCTCAAACACTCGCGCTACGTTCATGATCAGCGGGGGTAGGGGAGGAGAGAGGGAGAGGTATCGTTGATCAAGGCGCGAAACTGAATTCACGCGGCGCGCGCACACCCGAGAGAAATCGAATAAGCGGCGCGACAGACCGGGGCTGGGTTTTATCGTAATCGTTATCCACGATGTTTATTCGGCGAGTAACTTTCACCCCGTGGCGTGCGCCACGACTTCGATCGCGCGAGGATAGACAGCCGACGGCGGGAAGGTCCTCCTCTCGCGACGGTGTCACGGATCGTCCGAAGGGGATCGGCTAGGATCCCCGACGACGATCTAGCGGCGAGTGGCCGACCATTAACTCGCCTTAAAGCCGTTCCGCGCAGTTTGCCGCGCCGAAACGAGCGATCGACGCCTCCGTTAGAATTCCGCTTTACGGCCGTTTGCGCGATCGGTAGCGCGCGATTCGACAGAGAACGACTCCCGCTTCGCGGAACGCGCCGCGCTCACCGTTCAGGCAGCACCGGGGAAAGACGAGCGGGAAGATCGGTCGATTCACCGCTGAGAAGCGGAGGACTCAGCGCCGAGAGGTGGCTTCGTAGAGCAGCGCTGATCGATCTTGCGCAAATGAATCTTTCCGTCAATTGCGTAAATCGTTCTTTCGTCGGCCCTGAGAAACTCACACGTGCCTCTATTTACATATATAAATAATATTATACCGGATCTCGTTGGCTGTGCCACTTATCAGTTTCGATCAGGGTTTCTCGAGAAATCTGGAGTCTTTCAGCTCCGGCGGATTGACGTAAGGTCGTCTGTCACGATGTTCAATTTGTCACGTTATTCCATACAACGTTCTGCGCGACTGTGCTGGACATTGATCGATTGAAATTTTCTTTGGCTAAGATAATCGGCAGACTTCACAAGTTCTCCTTTGTCTGGAACTAAGTAAATGAATTTTCGTAATTGATTCGTATCGAATCAATCAAGAAAGTTTCAATAAATGCTGAGAGTAAATATTACGTCTGTCGACTCATCAGAGTTCTAGAAATTTAGGACTTTGTCCATTGCCCCATGTTATGTTCAGTATCTTTATTTGGTTACTTTCAAGATTTTTACGGGACTGTTCTAGGAGTACCAAAATGATAATTAAAATTTATTTTCATTTATTGCAAAATTATGATAATTCACATGCAAAGCGTCTAGAAAATAGTAATTGAAGCACATTGATCGCAGTATATCAGAATTCGAAAATTCGAATGCAATCTGCGAAGTGAGAGAAATATTCAATGGGGAAATATTTAGAACTAAAACAGTATCGATGGCTCTGGTCGAAATTTTAATTATCATTTTGGTACTTTTAGAATGATGCTATGGTCGTGTAAAGGCTTTCAAAGTGACTAAGCAAAGATACTGTCAGGCATAATATGGGGTAATGGACCTTAAATTTCTGGAGCTCTGATGAATTCGACTTTGACTTGATTGACTGTACACTAATTTATAACTAATTTTACCAGTCGATGAGATTACTCGCGATTACACATGTGACGGTTGATTAATTTTGATTTGCCAATTATTTTGGTCAAAGAAAATGTTAGTACCCAAATTTCTCCCCGGCACTACGGGGTGGGATTGCGAACGACGATGGAGCGCGCGTTTCCAGCGTGATATACGTCACGCGGCAGAAATAGAATACTTTTCATTGCAATCACGCCGGTCGCGAGTCAGATCGGCCACGTGCGATACAACAAGCACGCTAGATGTAATTCCTGGGAGCTCAATCGAACCTGATAGCGCTTCGCGAATGGCGACGCGCAGGGTAACATACCGAAACGCGAGCCACCGACTTCCGTGCACTTCTGTGCGTACAGCAATCGATAGCGCAGCGAGTATCTCTCCTATGAGCGAAGGTCGTAATGCGGATCGCGATACCGTCCGCAGAGAGGTAGCCGATATCGACCCTTCGACCTGCGCGCGCGCGCGCGCGCACTTGGACACGGCGGCAGCCGCTTTTCTCTGTTTGCTCGATCGAATCCGAACAAATACACCTCCCTTCACACGGCGCAGCTTGCACGCGCGTATCGCGAAGAGGCGAGGAGTGTGTTGTGCGGTTCCAACGGCGGCACGTCCGTGTCCGTGCGGCGAGATCGGAAGTGATTCAGCGACACGCTCCTTATGCAAATCGCGGAAATGATCACGAGACGTTGTACTTTTCATAACCCGCGGCGGCGTCACGAGACACGCTCGATGCTCAAGCGCTTGTACGCACTGCGAATACACGCGACTTCAGCCTGTCAGGCAGGTTCTCGTTGATCCGCACGGCTGGAATTCGTCGCGCTTCGCCAGAACGAGGATCACGGTGTTCGGCGACGTCTCGCGTTCGGCAACACTTCTCGGCTGACTTATCGCTGAGACTAAGTGGAAGCACGTGTTGAGAGCTCGATATGCAGAGTGCCTGATGACATGAGACATTTCCAATTCATGTGTGCAGTAGACCGATCTAGGGACTTTACGCGGTGACAGTTGATGAGCTGTGTTATAGCATAAACCGTCACCATGCCCTCAGAAAAAATTTGTCTACGTTCTGTTATTCATCGCTAGTGTAGTCTATTTTCGTTCATTATTTGATATATTGGCAGTATTGGACGTTGATCGCAAGTGAATCCTCCGTTAGTCCGTCATTTGTAGGGAGGAAGTGAGTGAGTAAAAAAGAAGCTGCAGCGTGTGCTTCGTCATTTCAGTCTTAGAGCTTCTCTCTTACTCCTACTGAAGTTTCTTTCTCACTCTCTTTCTCACGGTACCCTTAAAAATGCACGGAAAAAAAGTTGTTTGTCGCAGTTAAATTAGTTGTAATATATAGACACCTAAAAAATATTGCTGCGTTAGCAACTTTTTTGCTGCAAATTTTCTTGCTGTGAGATCGACGTAATACCAAGTTACTAGAACATGTTGCTGTTGTACGAAACGAATTTGCTCCTGCAGCAAAAAAAGTAGCTAACACAGCAATATTTTGTAGGTGTCCATATATTACGACTTTCTTTTTTTCCGTGTGGCGGGCAGGATGCAGACTAATCATCAGGAATCATCGTGCTTTGTCCCAACTCTGATTAAAGAGACTCTAGTCTCAGTCTAGTCAGTTGTCAGTCACAAGTCTCAGTAATTTCTGATGAGATCGTGTTTAGAGAGCGGTTACACAGCAGAACGGTGAGGCAAGACATTCCAAGTCTTACAAAAAAGTATGAAGTCTATCGAGATGGGAAACGATGCCCTTTCAATTAACTAATTCCGGTTGCTTCTTGCTGATTTCTGC